TATTTCAATGTCTATATAGCCTGTACAAAAAAAATAAACTGTTGGAAGGATAAATTTCAAGTATATATTGCGAAATATTTACAGTCTTTTTACACTTGCCACAAATTGAATATCTGATTTTTAAGATTAGATAACAGTTTTTAAAAAACCGTGTCTAGAAACATGATGTAAATCCGACCATGGTTTACATTTCCTGTTCTTTGTCCGTTATGTTTTTCGAGTATGATTCTTTTTTCTCACAAAATTCCAATAAAGTAAAATTTCGAAAATCTACCGAAAATCATGGTGAAAACGAATCAGAGTGTATGACGAAATTCCGGTTTTACGTATGTGTCAGAATATTGCGCGCATGGCGCGCACAAATATATTTTTATACCTGTTCGTCATAAATAATAAATTATACACGCACGCATGCACGCATTAACACTAACGCACGTGCACTAATATCACGATAGCCGACAAATTTTACCGTCAAATAAGCGAGAAAGTTACTCACCGTCCTTTTCTTCTGAATCTTAATTCTGCTTATTTTATCCTTGCTTATAATCCACTCACTTTTCTTGCAGTCCTCAAAAAAGGTATACCAGTTTGTATATTTTTCTCTTTATATATTTGACTCTTTGTTGAATTCAGACAAGTAACGGTTTTCTTTTGTGTCTACTTTTCTAAGCAATTAATTCTCGACCTTTATTTTTCAAGCTGTTATCTGAGCCGCTTTATTACAAAAGTAAAAAAGGGGTTGTAAGTGATAGTTAATAATCCATAATAATATATAAAGAGGCAGAAGCTGTTAGAAAAGAGGTAACAATAGATAAAGTGAGAAAGACAAAGAAAGAAACAATAGATAAGGAGCGAAAGAGAGATAGAACGCTAGAAAACGACGCAACAAACAAACAGAGATTTGAAGAGTGTTGCTACCATTATCATTGTAGAATAGAAATAGATTAGGATAAATTAATTATAAAAGTTCGAGAGCTAATTTATTGAAAGGAAAACGATAAGGAATAAAATAAATCTGCTTATACTGGGGTGTTTAGAGTTCAAAATTTTGTGCACAATAGACTTTCAAAGTTTTTCCTTTATTTTAATGAAAATTTCGCGAATGGAGGATTCGACTTTCGGAGTTTGAACCCTTTCCATTTTTAGTCTTTGTAGTTAAGTGGTTCAGGTGAAAGTTTGAAGAAAAAAAGGACAAAAACTGTAATTGCTGAAAAAGGAGTAGGAGAAGTAGACTCAAATAAAATCGTTACATGTCTGTTTGACAAAGAGTCAAATATACAAAGAAAAAAA